ATGAGACATGCCAAAACAATACCTCCATTTTTCATGGAGGGCACACAGACACACCAACAACAAAACCTCCATTTTTCATGGAGGTAATAAAAGCAACATGTGGGTGTGAAAATGAACCTGGTTCATCATACATGCATAGTCTACCAGCTCCCACATCTACACCCACGTCTGCGGACAAAACAGTTGGGCAAGTCCACTTTAACTCCTCCCAGGGGAGTGACAGCATGGACAATTCTACATTCTTTGCCATATTCTACTTGCTTTTCATTACGAAACTATTTCTCTCCTCACACACACACAAACACAAACACACACACACACACACACATACACACACATACACACACACACACATACACACAGACACACACACACACACACAGGCAAAAGACAATCGGCTACTCCAAGGTCCAAATTCCTCAGATAATGCATCCGGGCAATATTAAGAGCTTTTGTAAATGTAAATTGGTGTCTTATTTTGCCCAGTAATTATGAAAATAAGTTCTATTCTTTGTCAAAATCCATTATGCAATTGACGTCCTCATTCACATGATTTATGTATATACTACCGCTGCACTGCACAAGTAATACTTAAGCGTATTATGAACCTGCAAGACTGGTGAATTGTGTAGCATTTTTTGATTTTGAATTAATTTTTGACTGGCGTATAATTGCCATGTAACCGAAATGAAACGAAACCTACAGTGGGTGCTGCTGGAAGGCAGAAAAATGTCCAGACTGTGCATGATGTAATAAATGACTAATGTTATAAAATGGTGGACGTGCCAACCACCACTAAGTATCTGATACCAGCCCAGATAAAAAAAAGTAACAGCCATGCCTTCAAACAATTATCAATCACAAATTGAGGACCCATAATATTCCTGTGTATGATCAACGACGCTAGCCAACAGCACAGTGATCATTGGAAGTATGTGGACGATTTGTCCTTGGGAGAGAACAGACACGTGGGTAAACAGTCTCAACTCCAGAATCAAGTAGACTCTCTCGAGGAGTGGTCGAGGAACGCTGGACTAAAGCTCAACCCGGACAAGTGCATGACTCTGACAGTGTGTTTCATGAAGAACCCTCCTCCACCCTTGCCCATAACCCTGAATGGAACTGTTCTTAAGTCTGTGGATGTTGCAAAAGTGCTAGGGTTATGGCTGCAATCAAACCTGAAGTGGAACAAACAGATCAGTGAGTCAACTAAAAAAGCCAGCAAACGCTTGTTCATGCTGCGAAAGCTGAGAACCTTCTGTCTTCCTGTACCGGACTTAGTAACTGTATACTGTGGTTTTATCAGACCCGTCTTAGAGTATTGCTCACCGGTATGGCACCACAGTCTCACCCGACAACAGACAGCAACCATCGAACAAGTACAAAAACGTGCCTGCCGTACCATCCTTGGAAAGGACTATACTAACTGTACATCAGCTCTACAACAGTGTGGTCTTGAGACACTGGAGAACAGGAGAGTCAACCTGTGCCGTAGGTTTGCAGTCAGCATGGAGAAGTCGGAGAGAACCGCTGATCTGCTACCTCCAACCCGGGGACAGTCGACCCGACGTGAACTCAGAAACTCTACAAAACGGACTCTCCCTACCACACGTACAACAAGATGTAACAACAGCCCTCTACCGTCCCTCTTAAGACTGTTGAACGAAATGAAATGATAGTGCTCGTAACTCTGTAAATGCCTCTCTTGTGCAATTTGTATATGAAATAGTTTAATGTAATGTTGAAATGTACAGTACTAATGTGAATGAAAAAATTTGAATTTCACTATGCTAAATATGTGTAATATCGTGTAAATACTTTTTTAATGTGTAACTCTATTACCACATCTTGACTCCAAGATTGTGCTGTCGTTAAGTTTTTAAAACAGGATGTACATCTTAGAACGTAATTCAGCTTTATGCTGCAATGTTCTTGATTTTAGCAATAAACCATTTTGGATTTGATTTGATTGATTGGTTCAAAGACTTGTATTTTCCAAGAACTATTGTAGACAGGAACTCTTTGCCACCAAGTGCAGGGGCGTCATCACTAGAAAGCTTTAAACAACTCATGCAATTAAATGTGCATTCAGAAATTGGGTGTAACAAGTCGTTCGGTGTAATGTAGCTAGCTGCTGCCGCGCCGCGTGCCTGCGAAGCTGGTGTGTTACGCCGAAGATTATACCGGCTATACTGATACAAAATACAATAGCATACCCTGAAAGCCAGGGCCGCAAGCCCTTCGCCCGCTGGAGTCTAGCCCGGGGGGAGTTTGGCTGGCCCTAGTAATAGGGCCGGACAAACCCCTCGGCCTCAACTCCCCCGTAGCGGTTATTTAGATAGGCTGGGGAAGGGCTCTTGGCTGCCGAAGGAAAGGGGCTAACGGCCCGATACTACTCTTGCATCCAGGGTAGCAATAGCAAGATACAAGACTATCGTCTTCCTGTAAAAATATCCACTGTAAAAGACGGACTTAAAGCGCTGGTTACCTGCTGACGTGTTCGCTGTGCGACGTCTCACCGCCTCGGCTTCTTCGTACGTGTGTGAAGACGCATCGTCGTCTTCTGGCTGCTTGTCGGGAGCGCCGTTGCCCTGGCGGACATGCCCGCGTGAACCACCCTGATGGACGGGACGGGGCTGGGGCGGCCCGCTGGTGTGGCCGCTGCCGGGGCCGGAGAAAGAAGGCCGGACAGCCTCTGCCTGCTCGTACATTTCACCGTACTGTATTAACTGTGTACTCACTGTGACAAAAATTACAAATATACAAAATAATACCTTGATTAGTCTGGCTTCGTAAGCTCATATTTGGAAGAAAAACGTGGCATGAGGGGTTTGGTGAGATGACGTGAATGCGGCGGCAATTTTTAATGTGAGAAATAAACCAATCACTGCTACATGTACTACTACTAGTAATATTTTCTCTCTTTTTTTCTTCCACTCAAATATCTTTCTATGGATAATTATTTTACATTTTATTGTTAAAAATTTTATTTGCCTTTCAATCTTTTAGGTTCTTTTCGAATTCTAGTCTGGAGGAATGCAAATATATGCGCCATTTTTAAAACAAAAAGGAGACAGAGCGGTCCCCAGCAACTACAGACCTGTTTCACTGACCTGCATATCCTGCAAACTTATTGAACAACATTGCATGAACAACTATGAAAGGGGTTCTAGAAATGAAAAGAAACCTACAGTGGGTGTCACTGGAAGACAGAGGAAAAATGTCCAGACTATGCATGATGTGAATAATGACTAATAAACTGATGGACGTTCCAATTACTAAGTACCTAATACCAGCCCAGAAGAGAACAAGAAAAGGCCATGCCTTAATTCAAGAACCAGAGTTATCAACGAAGGATTGAGGTGTTCAAAAACAAATTCTTTCCTAGAAATATCGCAGAGTGGAAGTACAGTAAGGGCATTGTCACTGGATAGCTTTAAACAATATGTGGATTTGGATGTTCAAGGGTTAGGTGTAACAAGTCGTTCAGTGTAATGGGCAAAGGTCAGGAATAGCGCAGGCGCAGAGGTCCAGAGATGGCAATGTAATGTAGAGTGTTAAGAAGTGGGAAATGTTGTTGTTTTGGACTTGGATGTTATAGGTGAGGGTTGTAGTATTTTCGTTTTGGTGAAAAACAGACTTGCAGCCATGTTTGTGTTGTCTGGCTGGCTGAAGAATATATAGGTTTACATGCGGTCATCAGCTGTCCAGAGGGGCCAGGGGTCACTTCTCAATGTTCGGATACAATTCTCACATGGTTTAGGTGCGTAGGATTTTTTTTTCATTTTTGGTGAATGGAGACTTGAGAGGTTTGACTACCCTGTCAATGTATGTTCTTCAAGGTCTAAAAGTCAGGTAATTAATCTTGACCACGTTGTTTTGACGTAATTCCCATATATTAACATAGGAAAGCCCTATTACGGCGGTACCAATAACCCTAACCCTAACGCTAAGGCCATGTTGATTTGATTATATGGATGACATCCTCTGGGAACCTCAAAACTGATGCGCGCGTGCGAATAAAAAAAAGTTTTGCAAAAAGAAAAGTTGCTTTCACTATGAAATCTACGTGGTCATGAAGGTTGAACAAATGTTATGGCGAATAATCTACTCTTCGAATTCATTTCTTTACATTTTTGTCTTTTTTCCTTTGATTTTGGCATTCTACGACATTGGTATCGTTTCTAAATGTTTTCCTTGCAACTTATGGTATATTTTTGCTCATTTAGCAACTGTTTTGCACGATTTACAGTATGGTTGAAAACTTTTTTTTTTGGAAACGGCCGAAAATTCATGCGCGCGTGGATGTCATCCATATAATCAAATCAACATGGCCTAACCGTCAGACACCTAGTCTTACGCTTTGCGCGTCTGCGTGTTCAAACAGGTGCAATGTTTTAAAGTGAGCTGTAGACAGTATATTTTATCCAGAAAGTATGACATTCACACGATAGACATTGTTTATTGTTTATTATCACATGAAACAGAGAAATTGTTTTTTTTCTGTGGCAGAAACCCTAACGCTCAGACACCTAGTCTTACACTTTGCGCGTCTGCGTGTTCAAACACGTGCAATGTTTTAAAGTGAGCTGTAGACAGTATATTTTATCCAGAAAGTATGACATTCACACGATAGACTTTGTTTACTGTTTATTATCAGATGAAATGGGTTATTTTCTGTGGCGGTAACCCTAACCCTAACCCTAACGCTCAGACACCTAGTCTTACGCTTTTCGCGTCTGTGTGTTTAAACAAGTGCAATGTTTTAAAGTGAGCTGTAGACGGTATATTTTATCTAGAAGGTATGACATTCACACGATAGACTTTGTTTACTGTTTATTATCAGATGAAACAGAGAAATTGTTTTTTTTCTGTGGCAGAAACCTTAACCCTAACGCTCAGACACCTAGCCTTAAGCTTTGCGCGTCTGCGTGTTCAAACAGGTGCAATGTTTTAAAGTGAGCTGTAGATGACAGTATATTTTATCCAGAAAGTATGACATTGACACGATAGACTTGTTTGCTGTTTATTATCAGAAGAAACAACTGAGAAATCGATTATTTTCTGTGGCGGTACCCGTAACCCTAACCCTAGCGCTCAGACACCTAGTCTTACGCTTTGCGCGTCTGCGTGTTCAAACAGGTGCAATGACTGTCTGTTGCCATTGTAACTGGTGTTGGGTTACATCATGTTGCAATTTTATAGCAGGAGGGATTTTTACTCCTGTCACCATATATATGAATGTGTTTGAGTTAACAGAGCAGACCATATGTGAAGGTAACCATTATGCATTTTTGTTTTTTATTGCTGTCGCACAAACAGGACCATTGGTGGCAACTTCACCATATTTGCTGCATTAGCAAGAACGGACGTGTGGCTCTACCAAACAGGCGTCATGTTTGACTTCCCCAGACCCACCATGCCAAATATGGTCAGCATAGCGGGTCACATGGCTGATGAAGTCAAGCCGCTCAGTGAGGTTAGTTATGTTTACCGACGGAAAACATATTGTTTTTGCTCTGTTTCTTCCTCTTCTTCTTCTTCTCCTCCAAACAGTGACCTCTGACCTGACCAATGACATGATTTGTTGACGTCTGTCACCATGGTGACTGGTGTTGGGTTACATATTGTTGCAATTTCATGGTCTGCTCTGTTCCTGTGACCATATACTAATAGTACATGTATGTGAATGTGTTTGAGTAAGAATTAACAGGGCAGACCATGTCCGAAGGTAAACATTATGCATTTGCTTTGCAAATGTTACTTCTCTGCTTCATAATTGAATTGAACTAGAAATAGCTGTAAAACGTTGTTATGTTTACCGAAGGAAAACATTGTATTTGCTCAGTTTCTTCTTTTTCTTCTTCCGTTCTAAACAAATAAGGTCAATGACCAGGACCAGACATCTGTCACCATGGTAACTGGTGCTGGGTTACATTTTGTTGCAAGTGCCATGTAGAACTAGATCAAGAGAGCCTGCATGGTCACCTTATATATGAATGTTTTTGAGTTAGAATAAACAAAGCAGTAGTCTGTTAACCACGTGGTAAACATAATGCATTTGCTTTTCAGATTTAGTTACATTATTGATCGCAAAAATGATATTTGATAGTATAGTTGGTTTCTAGTTAAAATTATATCATAACTTTATCGAACTACACTTAAGGTACCCATCCAGAATGGCTCTAATTCTCACATTCTCCTGAACACACAGGATCTGGAAAAGTTCATGCAGAGCTCAGGAGATGCCGGGGTGGTGATAGTGACGTTCGGCTCCATGATAGCGGCTATGCCCGCAGAGTTAGCCGACATGCTGGCCGCTGCTTTTGCCCGCCTGCCGCAGAAGGTCGTATGGCGATACGCCGGGACACCTCCGCCAAGTCTGGGGACCAACACCAGGACCATGGACTGGGTGCCTCAAAGCGACTTACTGGGTAAATGTCATTATGTTTACCGATGGAAAACATATTGTTTTTGCTCTGTTTCTTCCTTTCCTTCTTCTCCAAACACTGACCTCTGACCTGACCAATGACATGATTTCTTGATGACTGTCATCATGGTGACTGGTGTTGGGTTACATAATGTTGCAATTTCATGGTCTGCTCTGCTCCTGTCACCATATACTAGTAGTACATGTTCATGTATGTGCATGTGTTTGAGTAAGAATTAACAGAGCAGACCATGTCCGAAGGTAAACATTATGCATCTGCTTTGCAAATGTTACTTCTAAAATGATAATATTCGCGTTTGTGTTGCTATTCGTTTGTATTGCTATTCCCCTATTAAATCAAGTAGAGGAAAATTCCGAGCGAGCTCGACGGAGTGAGTGAGTAAGTGAGTGGGTGGGTGGGTGTGAGCTGGGTGAGTGAATGAGTGAGTGAGTGACTG